GCCCGTCGGCCCCTGTGCCCGGCGGCCTCCAGACCCTGCGCCCGTCGGGCGAACTCCAGGTACAGACCACGGGCGCCCCAGGACCCAGCGGGGACAGGTTCCGACCGGGTCCGCGGGCTGGGCTTGGGCCGGCGCCTGGCCGCACTGACGGCGAGAGTTTGGGTCGATTATTATTAGTAGTATTAATACTGTCATTATCATTATCCTGATCACGACCATTTCCGTTTGGAATGGACTGACTTTTAGGTTAGCGCTTGGCGCCTGGCAGCATTTTTGTTTGGGCTTCCTCTTGCTTTTCCGCCCGGTCCGCCCAGTGCCTGCCTCGTGCGCTCTGCCCCTGGGCGCGCGGAGGCCTCTGCTCGTGCACGGTGCCGCCCTGGGCCGGGACCTGCGCCCTCCCACGCCAGCCGCCCCTCTCAGGCCAGCGGCCCGCAGGTCTCAGGGGACCCGGCCCCCTCCCCGCACCGCTGCTCCGCACCCGGATTTGCCCCTTTTGTGTGAATAAATAAAATAATCCATGCGAAGTCTTCGAACAGAAGAATGCTCAAGGAACTGCCAAATTGTCAATTAGCAATGAAAAGCAAAGGCCACGATTGAGTGAACACAGAAACAACCACAGAAGCTTTGGGGAGCGTGGAGAAAACGGGAGAAAAGGAAGAGGAGGAAAAGGAGACAGCAGGGGAGAGAAGGAGGAGAAGGGAAGGAAGGTGAAACAGGAAGGAGGACCAGAGGCCTGTTACAGATTGTGTGCTCCTGGGCGGGCAGGAGGGGCCGCAGGGGGCCCGGAGGGAGTTGGGGAGTGTGGCGAAAAGGTGTCTGGTTACCTTTTCTCTTCTGCCCTCTTGCCGCCAGAGCTGAGCCCAATGCATCCTTCCCTTGGGGCGGGGAGCACGTGCTGCTTTGTGGTGTGGTTCGAGCGCTGATGGGTGCCTGGTGTATTAAGGCAACAGAGAGGAAGTTGGCAGCACTCCGTCCTCTGTTGAGAAATGCAAGCCCTCACAAGCATGAGCACTGCCCAGAGAAGCTGCAGAGCTCTGCCTGTCTCGGGGGCTCAGGCCCCAGGAGCTGGGGGACCTCCTAGTGTTTTCAGGTGATCCAATTGCCCTCTGCTGCTGTGGAGCCCCTTCAGCACTGCAGCCTTCCAAACTTGCTGAGTGTCTCCTGCACAGCTCTGAGGAGCCATTTCTGTCCCAAGTTGCAAGTGGGACTGAATGTGCCTACATTTGTTTAACTCCTGCAGCATTCAGTCACTTGGCACAGGCAGGACCAATGCGGCGTACTGACCACTGTGTCTGTATATTCCCAAAATGGCCAGTTGATTCATAAACAAATCTGTCCAGTTAGTTGACTCTCACTTTGTATAATTCACTGCTAGGGTCTTGGCTGAAGTTTATTTTGACCCCTGTCCAAGTCTCCATTCATGGAGAAAGTCTGTAACCCTGATATAATAGAGCAACCTTGAAGCCTGATGATGCTTCCAAAAACAGCCTCAGGAATCACACTCCGAAGCCCTGGACAATAATGTGCTCCTTAAACTTAACTGCAGGATTTCCTAAGAGAGAGGCAGGGATTTGACCCACAGCATCACTGAGGTCCCTAAAGATTCTTCATCCCGAGCAGCTCTCCCCACACACAGGCCTCTTGTTGACCCACTAAACCACCCCCCTCTGTTTCCCCCTCCCTGGGCCCTAAAGCTCAGACACTGGACCCTGATGAGGGGCCCCTGTCTCCATATAGAGACCATCTTCTCTCATTTCTTCTTTTTAAAGAAACAGCCCTCTCTAAAATTTCATTGAATAAGTCTCCCCGCCTCTGCATCCCTGGTTCACAAGGGAAAGCAATTTAATAGAAAAATGCCAGCTCATAAATGTGGAAGAAACGGAAGAATTAGGAAATTCCCTTTCTGCAACCCTCGATGAAATAATTCAGTCAGGCAGGGCGCACTGGTGGGTGCTTAACCCTTTGGCGGAAGTGTGTGGACGAACTGGTTCATCACACAGTGCTAACTGGAAAAGGAAAAAGGTTTTCCATTTTCTGTGAAGATGTCTGGCTGTTCGCACCTTAACAAGGGATCAAACTTAATGTCACCAATACTGGCTCAGCCTGGCATTATATGATACAAAGTAAAGCATACAACATCATTGCTGCTGTGCTCCTGCCAGAAATGTTTCCCTTGAATCAATCGCCAAGCCTCTAAACTTTACTTCCAGTTTACAGGAAATAAAAGGGGTGGAGCAAGACGTTAAGTGACACCATGGCAAAGCAACCAGACTAGTCCAGGGTGTGGGATGAGCTGCAGTCAGTTGTCTGATCTCTTAAAAAAAGTTAATGTCATGAAAAAACATGGAGGACAGTGCTAGTGTAAAAACAGCTAAAAAGAAGAAACATAACAAGCATGAACCCAGATTGGCTCCTGGCTGGACAAGTCAGCATGGAAACATTCTGGAGAAATTTCCAAACTGGACAGGATACCGAATGATATTATGCAATTATCATTAAGGTTGTTAGGTGTGATAATAGCACAATGTTTATGTAGGAGAATGGCTTTATTTTTAGGAGATGGCTGCTGAAGTATTTAAGGGTAAAATGTCTTGATATCTAGAACCTATTTTTAAATGGCTCAGCACAAACAGTATGTATACATATGCTGACATGACAAACTGCTAGTAATTTTTGGTTCTGGGTGTGAATTGGGAAATTGTTCCTCTTTTCTATACATTTGAAATTGTTCCATAATGAGAAGTTGGAGAAAAATAAAATGAAATTTTATTTATTTAAAATACTAAAGACTGAAATAAAATATATCTCCACCTCTGTGCTCAAGCTTTCAAATCAAATCTAGGCTTATGGGAATAAAATTGAAAGTTACTATGAGTTACATTGGTATATTTTTCACAATCATGTGGCTTCAATCTTAAATATGATTTGAACAAATAGATTATATATTATAACATATGTAATATAATCTTGCATACTTATTTGCAATTTTAAAAAGGAAATGTATTTACTTTCCCAAAAAGATCAGTGCCTGCAGCCTGGCGAGCAGAACAGAGTGGTTAAAGGACGCCCAGTTTTAGGACTGTCCCTAAGCGAGACCTTCCCGCAGGGCCGGCGTGTGCACATCACAGAAGAGGAGAAAAGCGTGAGTAAATACACCTCCTTTCTTCCTTCCCTCTGCCCTCCCAGCCTCTGCCTTGGGGATCCCGGGTGCCTCCCCCAGTCCTTGGGTGTGTTTAGCTCTTGTCACAGGCTGCAGTAGACAATCAAGATCTCAGTAAACATGCACACGCGCTACCTTTTTGGTTGTCTGAGGTCCCTCCTCAAGCGAGCACTCAGAAAAATGTGCAGGTCAGTGGGTACATGTGAATGAGCTGCAGATCACCAGTCCAGAAATGCGGCAGCAGGGCCTCTAGAGTCCTGGAGGTCCCCAGAGAAGGGGTGTCCCTGGCGGGGGCAGCGTGGATGGGTTAATTGCGCAGAGCAACTTGATATGTGGTCAAACATTATTCTGAGTGTGTCTGTGAGGGTGTTTTGGATGAGATTGACATTTGAATCGGTAGACTGAGGAAAGCAGATCACCCTCCTGTTGGTGGACATCACACAATTGGTTAAAGGCCTGAACAGACCTTTTGTAAAGACAAAAGGCCAAGACTCCCCCTGGTTGCAGAGGATTCTCCTGCTGCCTGTCTTCAGACTGGGGGCACTTCCCGCTTCCACAGCAGCTCTCCGGCCTCTGGACTTGAACTGGGACCCCAGCTCTATGGGTGTTGGGCTTGTCGGCCTCTGTAATTGCACGAGCTAATTCCTTATAATAAATCTCTTTGTGTGTGTATATGTATATCTCCCATTGGTTCTGTTTCTCTGGAGAGCCCTGACTGATCCAATGGCCCCAGGGAAAGGGCAGAACTTTTCACAAATACGGGCCACTGGGACAGAAAGGAGGCCTGGGAAACACAGGGGACTCTGGTCTTGTGGTCACTTCATCTGCAACTCAACAAACATTCCAGAGCCATTTCCTCTCTGCTGGTTTACTCTACACAGAACTTGGAAGAATAACTTTAAAATATTGATCTACAGTGGCTCACGCCTATAGTCCTAGCACAGGAGTGGGGAACCTGCAGCCTTAAGGCCACATGTGGTTTTCTAGGTCCTTAAGTGTGGCCTTTTGACTGAGTCCGAATTTTACAGAACAAATCCTTTTATTTTTATTAATACATTTTTGTTTGTCTTTTATATTTTTATTTTATTTTTAAAATAAACTTATTTAAAATACTAAAGACTAAAATAAGCTCAACAAAATAATCCTCCCAGATTGACCAGCACAATTAGAACATCAGTAAGCCATAAGGGCTAAATTAACGGCTGCTACCCTCATGATTTAGTTCTAACTTCCCCCACCTGGCTGGTGCTGCTACCACATCAGGCTGGTTGGCGAGAGTTTATGGGGGACCAGTATGCCCATCTGTTGTCAGCTTTTGACAACGATACACTGCATTTCTGTTTGAAGTGGAATTTGTGAATAATTGCACAACTAGACAGTACTTTTAAATTCTTAACAGCCCATCATGTTGAAGTAGACCAAAATAATGCTGAAGGAAGAAAACAAATTTTTTAATGAGGATTGGGAATTACAATATTATCTTGTTTCTGCTAAAGATAAGATGATTTGCCTGCTTTGTGATACTGCAACATCAACATTAAGGAAAGCCAATGCTCATCAGCATTACAACACTCATAAGGACCACAAATATTTTAAATTAGAGGGAGAGGCACAAAAGATTGTATTGCAGAAATTAAAAGATGAAAAGCAAAAGCAAACAGAATCCTTTCAAGTAGCAATAAGGCCTGAAAATAATGCCACTGAAGCAACTTATAAAGTAGCTTATGTACTCAAAAAAAAGGGAAGCCATTCAATGATGTAGAAATTGTGAAAGAATGCATCATTGAAGTTGTAGGACGCTTAGACCCTGATAACATTTCAAAGTATAAACAACTGCCTCATTCAAGGAGAACCGTAACCGATCAGCAGCATGAGCCTTCAACTTAACAGAACAACTTCATACAATACTTCAAAAAGAAAATATAAGCTGGAACCCATTCTACTAAGTGAAGTATCCCAAGAATGGAAATATAAGCACCACATATACTCCCATCAAATTGGTCTCACTGATCAACACCTAAGTGCACATATAGGAATAACATTTATCGGGCGTCAGGCA